AAAAAAAAAAAAAAGAAAAACAAAACATAAAGAAACGCTTTGACGTAGTATAGGAAAAGTTTCGCAGATGGAACGACAACGACAACGACAACGACAACGACATCGACGACGACGACGACGAAGATGACGAAGATTACGAAGACGACGACGAGGAAAAAACATAAATTTCGTAGTATACGATGATCTATAATAATCGAAGTATAAAATACACCACAATATTACCAATGGCAATTCGGGATACTTTGTTTGGCATTAATTCAATCTAAATTCAAGGAGAGAGGATCTATCCTGGAATTATTTATTGATAGATTCGTTATCTTCTTCTCCTCGAATCCTAAAAAATGGGACTCGTGTGTAATATGTGTCAGACAGAGAAAACGAGAGAAAGAGAGTGAAAAATATAGAAAGAGAGAGAGAGAAAAATAGTGAACGAGAGATGATCATGATAGTGAGAAACATATCGTGTACAAGTAACGCGAGAACGGATAATACACAGAAAGAAATATAAAGATAAAGAAAGAGAGAGAGAAAAAGAGAGAGAGAGAGAGAGAGAGAGAGAGAGAGAGAAAGAAAGAAAGAAAAAAATAAGACATTAAGAAGTGGTGTTGGTTATTACCGTTCGGGTCCGGGGCAATCGGGTACAATGATCGAGGCTTTGTACTGCAATGGTGGTTGTTGGTTGGTTGGTGGTTGTTGTCGATTGTAGGATCCATCGTTTTCCGTCGTTCCGGGCAGAGGGCCAGGGCAGGGCCAGGGCAGGGCAACGTCATGGCAACACGCCAAGGGGGCACATTTGGGTTGCGTCATTGGGCAGGGCCAGGGCATAAACCATCAACCAAATTAGATCATTCACGAATCTCTCAAAACCAAGCGAATCTAGGTATTTGTCTTTTGCAATATCACAATTTTTCTCTCAAATTTTTATTTCTCGTATTTTATTTTTATTTCTTACTGTTTTCTTTTTTTTGTTCGTCTTTGTTTTCGTTTAAATTATAATATTTGATCCTATTTTGTTTTGTTTTATCGCAGTTCGTAAGACCCACCCTATGATGCAAACAACCTTCCCCCCTCCCACAACCCAACCCTTGGTGTTATCCGTTTAAAGCGTCTCTGGATTTCTATGCAACCTGTGACATCTAATCGGGACAATGCAATACTATTTCACGCATTCACTTAAACCAAGTGTTGTATTTGTCTTGGAACACATTTCTAAGCGAACATATCATCTTCTCTTCTTTATTCTTGACTCTGATCGATCATCATCGCGTCGAAGAGTTTCGAATATGGAAAATTCGATCATTACGTGTATTGTATTATACACATAGTGTATGGTGTACATAGATACTATGGTCTGCTATGCAGTATCTTCGGAAAATTGAGTTAGAAGGAAGATAGGATGATTGTTTGGAAACTCCTCGATGCGATGAGAAACGACGGATCTCTCTGGCGGAATTGGAACACGACGTCGTATGCTTACTATTCGCTTCAATTTTATTTCTTACTTTTTCTCATGATGATTCTTAAATAACATTTTCCAATCGAATTTATCGAATGGGGTTTGTACGATCCTAACCAACGGAGAAAACAAAAAGATATTATGTATTGGTTATTGAAATAATGGAAATAGAAGGAAAACGGTTTCGTTGCTTGTTCTCTTTCGCACATAAATTTATGTGATTCAAAATTAAATATAAATTTATCGAGAACGAAATTAGATAATAAGGGATAGGGAAAAGATCTAAGTCAAAGCTAGACCACCCCCTTGATCCTAACAAAAATGAATAATCCTTGTGACACCTATCCCCCCAACTTTTAGAATCATTCAACTTTAAACTTCGATTTGAAATTTATGCGCTATTGTTCTCTTCTTTTTACTTTCGTGGCTAAGTTTTTTACTTCTCCTCCTCCTCTTCCCCCGTTCTTTATTTTTTCTTTTTTTTCCCTTTTATGTTTTCACGTTTAAACTGTTTATTACCGTTGCAATGCATGCGTGTATCCGTAGTAAGACCATATAATACATGTCGTTACATAGTACCATACTGTTAACCGTTCAGTGTCGGAAGGTCATCATTTATGACACTGACCTCAGGTTGCCAGACGCGTGAGTGTTTTATTTGACAGCTATCGTTATAAATTTCTTCTATAATATTTCTTTTTTTTTCTTTTTTCTTTTATTTTACAAAGGTTTATAATCTTTAACACGTTTCTTGTTCACCCCTTGTCGTTTTAATAATAATTTCATATTATTTTAATCGTATGCTACATTGAATTCTAAACGAAGGTCAATTTTATTACATATAATTCAAAAATAAAAACACGAAATATTATATTAAAAAATATTTACGAATATAATAATACGAATGAAATATATTATATATTTATATTGTATTAAATGTTTTTTGTTCTTTCTTTGATGCATACAAGGGAAACGCGAAATAATTTGTTCACGTACTCGGATAAATGTACGACAATCACGTAGATAGATAGCACGCGTGTTTTATTGGCCTTGTAACGCAAATTGGCGACAGTATCGAGCGATTATCGTACAGCTATGGAATGCGTCATACACGATACCTACATAACATACACACACATTACATATATCGTATGTGTGTAAGTAAATGTATTTCTACTAGGCGGTCGGATACGTTACTTAATATCGTGCATAGAGAAAATAACGCACATAATCGGTGCCTTGTACTTGTACCTCGGGATTCTTATTACGAGAACCGTTTCGTTTGAGAGAACACGAGAGGGGGCAAGAGATACGGGGGGGGATGGAGGATATACACGCCGAGACGACGATTTTTCTTCTACGAACGGCTTCTGCTGCTCTCGTTTCGTTTTTTTTCTCCTTTTATTTCTCCTACCAGAGATTTTT